TGAACATAAATATTCTGTTAGCATACGCCTATACGGACATCATAAACGGAAAAACCTAATGTGATTTAAAATAAAAAATCGCTGATATATCCAGGTTTTAAATTTTTCATTATTCGCCATTTTTATTTACGATTTAAGAAATCACCTGTTCTTCTAATTTTTGCTTGTGTTAATACTGAATCTAGATATACAAGGAGATTTTTTGTTTAGGGGAAAGGGACATCATATCAGAAACCAAAAAAAAAACAGGCCAGGACAGGAGGAGACCCCTACGAAGTGAATTAATTTAAACACTGTATATCCTAATTAATCATTTATGAGTGATTTATTTTTGCACTCTATATTTAGTTAACTAAAAACCAAGTCTGGATAAAAAAATGACTCAATAATAGTTAAATTTAAATCATATTATAGACTATTAGAGAAAAAGTCAACTCTAAATTGGTTTTATATACTCAGAATAAAGTCTAAAGTCGCTCAATTGATAGTTGGACTGTTAGCAGTATCTCGGATTTGAGTAAAACTCACTCATTTCTGATGCAATAGTTTCTCACTCAGTTGTATTCAGACTAAGAGAGTGAAAATTTCACTCAATCAGATGTGGAGAAAAATTGATACATTCAGTAAAATTTAGTGAAATTTTTTTAAAATGTACACGATATGTATATAAAGAGAAGTTGATAATTATTGCTGACTTTTAAAAAGTGATTTTCAAATTGTTCTGAATAAAACGCAAATGAATAAGAATATTGTTTTCATAGTGGTATGTAGATAAGTATTAAATTCTACACTACTTTGCCTATCTAAGCTATTCTCTGTATATCTGATAGTTTCCAAGATCCCTGTATTTCTGTGATTTAGTTCAGTAAGGATTAAAAATTTAAATGGGAATTCTACGAAAATTTGAAAAATTGATTGATATTTCCCTGATCTATGAAATTGCCTCACAATTTCAGGTTTCTCAGCTTGATATACACCCTGTTAAAACTATGCTGACATAATTTATATTACAATTTAATTATTATAATTTTATTAATTGCTCAAAAGTTAACACAGGATGTCAAAATAATAATGTAAACGCCAATAGTAAGTCAAAATAAGAAAAAAAGTTCCTATATGAACATATCTTCAAATTTCGTCATACGGGCTTATAAAAATTGATTTTTGTTTTATCACAGTTGTTAACAAATGCAGTTTTGATAAAATTTTACCACATATGTACTAGATACTATAGAAATAAAATTGATACACCCGTTGCAAGATATAGTTTTAACAACAGTTTGAAATTCTTCTTCTCTGTTTGAAAAGGCTAAACATTTTTAATTAATATGACATCCTATTTCGGCAGATCCATTACATTTTTAGAGGTAGTAGTAAAGTTAAATTTTTATCACCAATTTTTTAATGAGATCAAAAAAGCTGTTGCAAAATTTCATATTGTCAGTAGCTCTGCAGAGAAAAATCATGTTTTGATACTTTGTACTGTTTATTTTTTTTTATTTGCCGTTCACAAATAAATAAATATTTTTCATTACATATTTATCTATTTTATCTGAAAATATGCAGGTCTAATTTGACCAACAAACCACAGTTTTTACACTTACCTATTAATATTTCTTCATCTCTCTTTTCCTTCAAATAAAAGCTAACGCACACAAAATTTTTATTTTATCTAAAAGAAAATAAATATCACGTACTTTGTAATTTAATGGTTGATTGAATAAAGAAATAAATGGCCAAACACTATAACAGCGAAACGCACTTTAGAAATTATATCTATTATTGATTGGCACTGATAAAATTATTATTACGACTTCGTTTCAAAACTATCTTGCCACAGTTGTCTTATTTCTATTGAAACATGGTAGGAATTTCTAAATAAAAAGTAGTTTCTTAAGGTTGATTTCTTTCCAAACAAAAAAATTAAATTTTGAGGAATACCACACAATTTACTTGACTACTTCACTATAATCCGAGGTAAATAATTATTTGAACTAGGATGTATTGTATTGAAACTTATTCCTGCTTACAGGTACCATAATAAAATTGACATAATTAAAATTGATAATAATATCGAAAATTTTTCGAACTGATGCAGAAGTCAATTCACAAAAGAAAATTAAATGTTCTTTCTCACTTCGATCTCACAATGTACTTGGATACGATTTAGTTAAGGTCAGGTCATTCTACAGCTCCCCGTTTTCATATTTACCCATTGAAAGATATTTTATAGATATCTGAGAAAGAAAATGAGGTGAAGAACCTTTTTGTACTGCTAAAATATTATCTGAATCTTAATTTGTCAAAAGCAAATTATAACTTTTATTATTAATGAATTCCTAGAATTTTTTTTATATTTTTATGGAAAATTAGATGTGAATAAACGTTATTTAGAACACATACTCTCAAACTGTAAAACTTCCGTACTGTGTCAAAAATATTACCTTGTAAAAATATTTATAACTAATTTAAATATGTACAGAAGGCAGTGATTTACAGATTCAATATTTATTACACTCAAAATAAATATTTGTCTTGTTAAATAACTCGTAAAAAATCATTCATAAACATTTTACCATTTTATTTAGTATTTTTAAATAACATATTCTGCGTGCAGCATGGATAATAAATTTTGCTTACGAGAAACTAATAATTTAAACTTTTTAAATTTAAGAATTCGTTTTAATTTCATAAAATTTCAATTATATTTCACAAAGGGAAAATTCTTTTTCTGAAAAAATTATTTGTGTTTCAGAAAACATCAGATGTATCTATTTTCAGACAATTACATAACTAATTTGATATTTAGTCTTTTGACGAATGCTAGTATATATTTTATATTTTCGAAATACAGAACATATTTTGAGATATAAACTGAAATACAATTTGCATTTCCTGAATTAGAATTGACTACATTCAGTACGATATTTGTTGAGATAGAATTCCCCTGCGTCACTTTCTTGGAATTAATCGCATTCGACACCCGAGGTAGAAAGACATTGGCGGCGTGGCGTTCCCCGTAGCAGCTTGCAGTGCATACTGTTTTGCAGTTGCGAAGGTGTGTTTCTTCATAAGTGTATCCTCCTGTAATTTCTTTTTAAAATATATCAATGGAGGTGAAATATAAAAGAAATGAATTTAATTTCCAGTCGAAGAGTATCGTGTTTTATTTTAAAACAATTTTTCCAAATGAAAATCTCAAAGCACGCCTCTGCCGCGGTAAATTGTTACAGTGATTTCGATAACCGCACTATATTGGCCTATTCGTTTCCTGGAATTCTATCTCAACAAATATCGTACGGACTGTACCTATCCTACAGTACAATCGACGTTTACTAAAATGTCTTTGACATGCAAAATTCCAATGATTTTTTGTGTCAAAGCCCTCTAGATGTACTTGTCAAATTACGATGAACCAGTTGGCAATCCATGGCCTACCACAAAATTTTTGGAAGAGATTTTTGAGAATGCCATATTGGAGAATATTTTATTAAAAGTCTGGCTACGTCCTTAGTAAGTGTGACAATATCCCAATATCAAATGTCATCGATTTATTTATGCAGATTTTAAATTTACGGAGTTTCGGTTTAGTTAAAAACTTTCGAAATGCCTGAAAATAAAGAATTAGCAATTGCTGACCCTGCTGATTATAATTGATAAATAGTAGTCTGTATATAAATCATATTTATAATTTTTACAGGACAAAATTTTCGTAATTTTAGGCCCAAAAGCAGAATCTACATATTTTTAAAGTTTTCGTCTTCAAGCATTTTCAATGCCTACTGGATTTTTAAACTGAAAAACCTATAAAACATATATTTTACAATATAATTTGTTGAAATTTGAGCCTTGAGCTTTTAAATTTGGTTAAAAAAAATCCCTAAAGTTCCAAAAATCGCAGCAAGCCATAGATTGCCAACTTGATCATAATAATTAATCGAACAGGTACATCGAGAAAGTTACTACATGCAAAAAAGTGACTTAAATCGTGAGTCAGAAAAAATAGAGGAGTTTTGACTTGGTTCTTAGTGAACCACACCAAGTATATGTGACCAATTTGAAATTTTGAAATAGAAGTGACTAGCCTGAGATAGAATGTGAAAAACATAAACATAGGGAAAAGGTATAGAATAAACGGAATTAATATATAATTTGTAACATTATGATCAAACATTTAAATAGATATATTGGGTACCTGTATAGGTTGCATTAAATATAACACACTGTATGTACATGTAATAAATAAAGTTACAATCAACAAAGTTTAAAAATAGCTAACGCTGAACAAAATATTGACTGGTTCAATATTTCATTTTTTGAAGGGACAAATTCAAATTGATTATTCTTAAGTTATTTAAGGTGCAATTTTATTTCAACTTACTTAGTGAACATGCTGTGCTGTAGAAATAATCGCGATTTGGAAATTTAACAGTCATTCCTTCTCAATTAATTGTAAACCATGCATATTTCAAATTTATAAGTAACCATATGAAACAGGTATGCAATATATGCAATGCATTATATCAGCAAAAACATAATAAACACTTACTCTGAAACTTGGGAAACATTTATAAACACGTGTTATGTTTTGATACTAACCAAACGTCAAACAGATGGAGCAAATACGAGTAGCACAAGGGAATAAATAGGTGCTTTAGCAGTCCCAAAGAAAGAAAATCCATCAGGCCCGTTCACTTTTTGCTATGACTCGTTTGTTTTTCTTATCAAGGAGATAATATTATGCTAGTAATAGTAATGGTATTTTAAAGTTACTTATAATAGGCAACATACTTTTTATTAGATACACCTAATTACTACTCAATTACTAATCATATAAAACAGATAACATTACTTATTTTATTCTCGGCAGAACAAAATAAACACCTCGCAACAGCATTTTTATAAACCGTATCTAATTAAACAGCAGTATGCAGTTTTTACGTTTAACCTACGCACAACAGTGTTTATAATTAACGCTTGAGTAATAAAATAACACTTACCGCTTTAATTTTGAAGCCTTTCGATTATCTCGCCCCAAGAAACTTCTCAGCCCCCAAAATAAAAATTCAAACCACCAAAAATTCACAAAAAGAAAAAATCCAAAGCACAGCCGAGAAAACAAAACAAACAAAAAGATCGGTCCCACTATCGGCCTCAATAGCTTATCAGACGACAACCTAGCTCAACAAATAAGTGCGCTAAACGTCATGGAAGCGAGTGGCGATGTTGAGTGCACGGCAGAATTCGTACTCAGCAACGCGGCCTACCCCGGCAAACTGTCGACTCGCAATGTGTGTGTGTGAGTGAACGCAGCAGCAGCCGAAGAAGCACAGTGCCAGAACCGAGCTTTATCCGCCGACGCTCGAACTGACGCGGAGCTTTGGCGGCGAGCTTTCGGCGTGACGTCCGCGCACGCCAATGCTCCGGACGGCCTAGGGGGTGGGGGAAACACCGGATAATAGAAGAGGTGGTTACTGTCAGATACGTCACGTCAAATATTTGGGTAATATGAAAATAGGTTTTGATTTACAATTTACAGCGAGGTGGAGGAGCTCTTGGGCCACAAAAATTTCCTGAAATGTTTTCAGCCTTGAATCTACCTCAAGAATTTTTCTAATGACACGAAGATACACGGTGCGTTCCAAAGTAAACAGGACTTTTTAAAAATAAGGACTACAAATAGTTTTTTTTGGAAAACCGATTTATTGTGGATTAATAAACGGCTTGGTCCGGTGGAACAAACTCTTTGTGGACAATGTCCTTGCAATCGTAAAAGCAAATCAACATTGTCTTCACTTTTGACTTCTCCACAGTGGCGGCTCGTCGTATGAAGCAACTAAAAATTTGGCTCTCATACCGTATATTTTAATACCTGCTATTCTACTATTAACATAAATATAGGTATAAAATAATTATTTGAATATTGAATATCTTCCCACTAGTCCCCACCACAGTGAGGCCAGAAATTGTTTGCTTGTAGGCGCGTCACACTTGCCTACGATATGCTACAGTTCCCCCTCCACGCGAGGCGGTTAAAATAACGTGATTTACGAGAGAACTGACGGCTCTTGCAGACGGGCGGTATTTTACCGATCGGCAGCCGACCATCAAACTTGCCGGCAACGGCAACAATTGTATTTCACCATGTGTAAAATTTTGTCGGTTATTTTGCCGATCGTCCAAAGTAAGACTAAATTATTTAACGTAATTTAATAGATACTTATATGAGAGATATAGATGCAAAACTCACATTATCCATAATGTTTCGAATTAGAGTTAGTGGCGCTTTCTTGATCATTGTGTTGAACTACACCATTTTAAAATTTAGAAGTTGTACAAACTCACATTTTCGTATTTATTTTTAAATTGTGAAATCTGTGAATTGTTTCAAAAGTCACATTTTCCTACGATCTGAAGTTGTCAAAATTAATATTATCCATATATCCACCAATGAAAAAGCTTAAAGCGATAAACCAATATGGCCGACTGCCTAAAGAGAATGTGAATTTTGCTTCTCGTATTGTTTTGCTTTCCTAGATGGTTGATTCCGTGTTTTTCTATGAGTTTCTAATTATATGTAAGATAAGTTTAGTTCTGAAGTTTCATATTTAAATATCGGATATTAGAACTTTTTACTGTCAACATGTTTTGTACTTTGCAATTTTAGATTCATTATAAAAATATTTCACTTAATCACTGATAATAAAACCGTATTATAATAATAATAATATTTGTTGTGCAAGATAAAGCAAAAAAAAAGTAGTTTGCACAAAAGGTAAGAGTTTTGGCGTAAGCCAATCTTCCACTCTAACCAAAAAACAAAAACAAATAGCATATGTAACAACAAAATAACAAACAAACAAACATCAGACAGTTGAATAAATATTGAAATATAACATTTATCCCCTATATAATTTAGTACAATTCAATACAGTTGATTACCTAAAAGTAAAGTTTTTTCTATAAAAAGTCCCGGTGTCAAATCAAGAAAATTCAGTACCTTATTTAAACATGTCGGTGCCAAATATGGAAATGAACCTGTAAATTTAGATGTAGAATGTTGAGGAATAGGTAATGTATAAGTTAGTTCTTAAATTGACACCATTATTATACTATGGTAAAAAATGGTAATAAACTTGACTACAATAAAATATATTAGGATAAATTATTGCCTTAATAATCTTTAATTTAGTTTGTTCATCAAGTATGTTTTTTAAATAATATATTGATTTTAATTTATAAAAACATTTTGAGAATAATCGATTTACATGTTCGTTAAATTTTAAATCATTATCGATTATAATACCAAGATTTTTGGCTGACTTCACCCAGTTGATAATAACCCCATTCACCAAAATATTGTTATCAGTACATATTTTATCCCTCTGACGTTCATTTCCCATACACATAGCGACTGTCTTAATTGGATTCACACGTAAACCATTATCACTGCACCAATTATAAAAATTTGTAGTGTCTTCATTGAAAAGAGACAAAGCTTCATTACTTTGAGACGCAGAAAATTATTTATACAATTGGACATCATCAGCGTACAAGTGCACCTGACAATGTCTTGTAATCAATGGCAAATCAAATGTAAACATTGAAAGCAATAGCGGCCCAAGAATACTTCCTTGAGGTACACCCCACTCAGGTGTCTGAAATTGAGAATATTGGTCATTAATTTTCACTCTGCATACGTCCATGAAGTAAATCCAGTCGATAGCCCGAGGATCAAAACCCATGTATTTCATTTTGCTCAATAAAAGATCATAATTTACTAGGTCAAAAGCTTTACTTTGATCCAACAAAAGTAGTACCGTGCATCTCGATTTATCTAGGTTTGTTGTTATATCATCGACCACTTTTAACAATGCCGATGTTGTACTATGTTTAGAGCGAAATCCTGATTGTATATCTGGAAGGATGTTATTTGCGTTCAGAAAATTAGTTACTTGTTTAGCTATTATGTGTTCAAATACCTTTGAAAATGCCGGTAAAATACTAATTGGTCTCAAGTCATTGAATGATGTAGGAGCAGAAATCTTTGGAAGTGGAATTATATTAGCTGATTTCCATATATCGGGGAACTTGCCGTATTCAATACATTCATTAAAAATAGACTTAATTAAATCAATACAAAAAGGGATCACTATAATTATCATTTTTATATTAACATTATCCACACCATAAGCTTCCGATTTTATACTCTTTAAGCTTTCATAAATATCTGATTCATTAACCTGATTCAAACTAAAACGTAAATTTTCGTACAATCTGTTACTATTAAAATAATTAATAAGATCTTGTTTTATCTCTGCTTGCCCTGCAACGTTTAAAAAATAATCATTTATACTGTCAGAATCGTTTAAATAGTTAGAAAGAGAAGGATTTGAATCAGCTCTGTTTGAGACCCCATTCTCTAAAATGTTTCCAAAGAATTCTTGCATTTTTCTTATGTATTTTTAAACAAAATTCTGCATAAGCTTTTTTTTCCCGTTTGATAGCGGATTTAATATAATTTCTCAGCTTTACATAGTACAACCTCGATGCTGTTGTTTTAAGTTTTAGATACCTTTTATAAGCTTTTTGTCTCAATTTAATCATTTCTTTTATATTGTAAGTAATATAAATAGTTTGTGCAGCTTTTTATTTTGATTATAAACTACCATATTACAATTACAAAGTTTTATTGATGTTGAGTTTGTTCTTTTAAAAAGTTCCTTTAACTTCATGAATTTTGGTGTAAAAAATAATATTATGTAGAATAATTTGGAGCAAAACTACCATTATCCAAAAAGTTGTATCAAAACTCACATTATCCAAACTTTAATTTACATTTTTTTTTTTTTGAGTAAAATATTATTGTGCTGTCATTTCAAAGTTAGTTCTAATACAATACCAAAAAAAATTCAGAGCCTTAAGTCGCTTAAAAAGTGAGAAATCAGTTATTCCTTTTCCTGAAAAATTTTAAAATGTGGATAAATGTGAGTTTTGCATCTATACCCTTCATATCATCAAATACCTACATAGGTAGCTAATAATAAAACTATCTCACAATATTGTTTTATCTCTTGAAACACTTATTTCAAGACGTAATGACGTAAACTACTACTCTAAACAAATTAAAATCACCAGTTAAGGAATTTCTGAACTAAGAAACAAAGAAAAATTAAAAAATATTGTAATTATGCCAAAAATGTTACTAGACTACCAAGTAAACGGGAGAAAAGTTGCGACATATTAGAAATATTTTCGAAATATGTATATTTCCCCAGTACCTACTCGTTTTGGGAATGTACATGATTTAAATTTTTTTGCTTTAATAGATTCCTCAAAATTTCCCGAATATGCAAACAAAAATTTCCCGAAAAATCGTTTGAATGTTTATTACAAATGTATCCAAACGTTTTTGAAATAGATAGGTTGAAAAAAGGACTTCATATTTTATACAGACGAACAATTTCGTAATTTAGAAGTTCAAAAAACCATAGATATTATACAAGGAATTTAAAATGGTATTTTCGGAAGCATACAAATTGTTTTGCCCAGTTTTAACAACTCCTGCAACAAGTGTCTCGGTAGAAAGAAACTTTTTGTGTCTGAAGCGCGTAAAGCCAATAATAATATCCATCAGTTTTTCTATAATATTGTAAATGTAACTAAAAATTTCCAGATGCATTTAGTCGTTTGACCTTGAAAATTTAAAAAATTTTGCCTGCGACGCTTTTCTTTTCTTTCCTGTCCGCCTCTCACCTATTCACAATGTGACAAGCTGTCTTCTCCAAACGAGACTTTTTGGGTTTTGGCTTATCTAGCGCTTTCTGGATCATATTGAAAACACAAAGTCATGTATGGAATGTATGTAATGTAAAGGAAATTTTTGTCCTTTTTGGCCTCCTTGATGATGTCCTTCGAATTTTGAATTCTGAGCAATTTTTGGTCGTCATTCAATCGCTCAAAAAAGACTACGGGAAGCCATCCATCAACCTCCTCAAATCAAAAACCTCTCACTTATAATTCCTGTGCCCCTAGTTCGCTTCAGCCCTTATCGCAGATTAAAAGTTACCGTCCACCCTTAAAAAAGCGATCACGCGCGAATAGTTTCCATTATTTCATTAGGACTGTAGTGTGCAACGGCAGTATGGGGGAGAGAAATCGAAAAGTAAGGAATAGTAGTTGAAAATAAGGTTTAGTCAAATAATTGAACGGCTATTTTAAAATTGCAAGTGCCCTGATAAAACCAATTGATTCTATTATATCCCTCTGCTGTAGACTGCTGGAGTTTTATTTCGAACGGGGGTTATTAGCCTTTATAGGGCTGCTA